AACGCCCCCAGCGTCTGCAACTGCTTCAAGAAGAAACCTATCCCACACAGCGTTTAACCGACGAAAAAGTGGATGTGCAACGCATTTACGAAGTCAAAAACATGACAGAAATGGCAGAAAATATCTGCGAAATGTATATGAAGCGCATGGAAGAGCTTAAAGACAAGCTGCCTGCTGATGCGGACTTGCAAATGTATGCAGATCTACCACAGGAAAGCGTTGAGGAGAGTGATATAGCACAATTAACTGAACAGGTTACAAATCAAGCAGCAGAGAATGACGAACCACCTACAAAACGGCCGGCAAAGGAAACTAAAAAGACGCCAAAAGCTGCTGCTACATTCGATCCCATACCAATTGTTAATGAAGTAAGCGTGGAAGATGCAGAGGAAGATGAACCCGAAGCGCAAGCTAGTGCGTCAACGGATGCGACGCAAACAGAAACTGAAACGGTTACTGCGCAAAATGAAGCTGGTGCTGTTGAAGCACCGGCGGCTAATCTTAACGCGCCAGCGGCCGATTAGTGGTTTGGTGTTTCATTAAGGGATTATCAATATGCGAAATATTCTATTGAAAGTTTAACTATAAAATAAAGAAATATATAAACATTTTATTACGCAGACAAAAAATTATTACATAAAATTCCATTCCATATTGCACGAATATAAAAAGTGAATGCAGTACCTCACTTCTTTGGCGCTGTAATGCCCTCCAGTTGAGCCTTTAATTGTGTGTTGGTCTTCTTGAGGAATGCAACCTCTTCCGCATATTTCTTCTCCTCTGACGCGCGCAGTTCTGCATTACGACGTTCTGCTYGCTCTTGCTTGATCTTCATGTCGTTGATAATCTCCTCGAGCGATTCCTTTTCGGTTTCCAACGTTTTCACACGATCGCGCAGAATTTCTTTCTCTTCGTGTGCCTGCAATGCTTTACGCATACCAAATGCCACCGAACTGCAGTATAGTGTTTCATATGCCTCCATAGACATGGCGATTTCGTCTCGTATACGTAACAGTAGCAGGCCACGCTCTGAACAATTAATGGTGACTTGACGAATGATTTCATCTACATTTAATAAAAGTAGATAAAAGCGTTTTATTTTTTAGTTAAAAAAAATTGTAGCAGGTTTTTTTTTGTTTCGGTACCAAAGCACTGTGTATACAACTCTCGGCGTATGGGACAAATGCCCGTCTCAC